CAAAGACACTGAGAAAACTGCTTCCCTCCACCCTAGACTCACTCACTCACCGCGTGAAAGAGAACGCACGCACGCCGGCCGGCGCCACCCACCATCAGGTGGGAAAGCGCTGCTTCTCGGCGATCTTCACGTTGGAAATGATGCTGAAGATCTACGCCCTGCGCTCCGCCTACTGGGAGGACCCGGCCGATCGGCCGCCGCGACGCGACGTGGCGCTGAAGGAGAGGTCGACCGGGCCAGAGGTCGCAGTTGGTGAACTTCATCGGATCTCAACAGGTCTCCCACCAATCAGGTCACAACATCAGGTCCGGATAAGTGGTATCATCAGGTCTCCCCATAGTGAGACGGCACCGAAGTGGTTGAAAGAGAGACATCTCAGCCGTTCCTGAGGGGCGGTTTTTCTGCAACGCCGTTGGACTCGTAGAGAGGTCTTGGATGGATTCGGAACGGTCCCATACTCAGAGGATCGGGAAGGCATTGGTGAGAACATGGTGTGAAGCATCTGAAAATTGGTTATACAGTTATACAATATATACGATTTTATATGCAATACTTGGTGGGTGCATGGGCCTCTTTAAATGGCACACACTGTTGCTGAAACTGTGCATGTTCGAACTATATATAAAAATCTCCGAACTATATATAAAACCCCTTCAGTCCTGCACTATGTTTGATGTTTTCTCAAGATGCAGCATCAGCATTTTGTTCAAGTGAGAGACTGTGGTGGGCCATGGCTAGACGCCGTGTGAGGGTCAAAGTGAAAGTGCACAGAAGGGTTCGAGTAAAGAAGAAGAAGAAGACTGAAGAAGACAGATTTCCCCAAACAGCATTACCCCCACCCCCACCACCTCCACCACATGCACTGCCTCCAGCTCAAATCCCAGTGCCACCACCGCCACCAAGACCTTTCCCAATTCCACCCCGACCCCCAGCCCCACCCAGAGCCAGACCCTTACCGCCACCACCACCTCCAACCAGACTGAGAGTGAGACCTAGACGACCCTTTCCACCTCCGCTACCACCACCAGCTCCAAAAGGGCATTCTTGAGAAGATGGATTGAGCCATGGATTGAATTATACTCGCAGCATCCAGTGGCTGGAAGATTGAACAAGAGGAATTTTTGAAGGAGAAGTTCAGAATGGTAAATTGAAATTGACTTTGAACCAGAATTGACCAATGGAAAGGGGTTGACATGCTTTGTGTATTCTGTCATTTTCCACTGTGGGCCATGGCGAATCACCAATTGGATGCGGAGCTGACGAGACTTTGCTAATTGATTGTCCCAGTAGTGGCCCAGTAAGAAACTAAAAAAACATGTTAATGAATGAGTCAGAATCATTTTGTTTTGCTCACAGGTGGTAGTAGAAATCAAGAAATCAGGATTAGACATTGGAGGAATCTAGCAACCTACTGAACCCAGCATTCAGTGGCTCTAAGGAGTCCGGTGGACGACGACAAGTTTGGCGCCTATGATGATGTGATAGGCACTGTCAATGACATCGACTTGCCCTTTTTGAAGTGGCCCGTGTTCTTCAAAAAGGCCATTCCAATCCAGAATCCGCACAGTATGTATGGTGGTGAGAAGCCGATTGTTTGCACTTTGAACTGACTGTTGTCAGTTATGATGAGCGGTTGGTAGATGTTCTTTGATTTTGGAACAAGTTCACTGCTACAGTGAGCCGAGGTAGATCAAACCCCGACTGAACTGAAAAAAAGTCTGAGGTTCAACCATCGTTTTCATCTTTACAATAGGTTGCAAGATTGGCAACTTGAACACTTCAATCTGAGGTTATCCTTGGTCGAGGCTTGTGCTGGAGCGGGAACAGCAACCTACGCCTTGCACCCTGGACTTATCACTTATCACTGGACAATTGGAAGTCAAGATGTTCTGATTTCTTGTTTGGACTGCTTAGATGGATAGTGCAGGGTCTAATCTTTGCCTAGGGACCCCAGGAATACTCAGGGTGAATCAACAATCTGTTTGAGCAACTTACCTTTGCGCCAATCAAGGCGTGAGATGGACATGAATTTCTGCACCATTGCTGTTCTCGAGAAGCACAAGAAGAAGATGGAGTATTTGATGCTCAACTTCTCGCCCTATAGACTCTTGGCATCCTGATAGGACGCATTAAGACGCATTAGGCCCTACAGACCCAAATCCTAAAGAACAAACTGAAGAGCTTTAAGAAAGGAACTCGATTTGAGCCCTGAAACCATGAAACCCTCCGAAGTCCAGAAAGTCAGAAAGTATATAGGCTTTTGCTCGCGAACCAAACATCCCAAACCAACGTTTACGACGCTTTGGGTTTAGGACCGTTTGGTCTAGGACGTTTGGTCTACAGGCGGCAGGATTTCACACAGTGGTCCAGAGGTCTAGAGCCAGGCAACATTAGACTTGACAGGCGACCAAACCCTCCAGTACAGAAAGTAAATGCCATGTGCTTTGCCCTGGCCCTAGACCAACGCTTTAGTCCCCGTGGGCCCCTGAGTAAAGAAAGCACCTTACTCCTTACTCCCAAGCCCTACAATTTCTTTGGAGAGCACTGAGTCATTGACATTGAGTATTGGGTTTTTATGACCCTCAGTGCCTCAGTGATCTCTCACCATGTTTTTTCTCTGCAAAAGTTGCAAAGCAGGGAGATGTTGGAGTCAGAGAGTCATGTGACATTTGTTGGCGAATAGGAGGAGGCCTTCGGAACGACCTTGCTGGACCAGTCATAGATGTGACGTGACTGGGACAGCCCGATCTAAGTCCATCATTGCTATGAAGACGTTGCGGACATGGTCAAGGACCCCCTGCACTGCGACCGACCAGGTCATACTGGATGTTTGGTGCCACAGAAAGAGGACTGGAACAAACGACCAAGGCTTTGGGTGTGTCAAGACAGGCTTGATCTGATCTGTTTGTTTGTTGCTGTTTAGCTTACAGCAGCGCCACACCCACCCTTGAGAACGGCATGAATAGAGGAGAGTACAAAGTACATTACATTCATTTGAGAAGGTAGGGGTAGTTCACAGTTTGCAGTTGCTACACTGTTCTCCTGGAAGGACATCTATGCATGCGGACCTCCCTGCCAGCCTTTTTCCCGATTGAATAACAAACGGAAGATCTCTGGCAATCCATTCGAGACAAGTGATGGCATGGTGTTCGTCAACTGCAGCAGACACGTCCGTGACTAGTCCAATCTAGTCGCCCTTGGGTAGGGATGGGTTGATGGTGCAGGGCCCAATTTACAAGAGGACAAAGTGAGGGCCAGTGCCGACTGTGCCTCACGATTCAGGAGGTTGATAGTCAGTAGTAGTAGTAGTAATGATCTCACACCTGTTACACCTTCCAGCAGTCAGGATTGAGTAGTCAAGTTCGGTTTGTGTTGAAGAGGTTTTGTCACCTACTCTTTGGGACTGAACCCAGGTACGAGGAGGCCGAAGTTCGCTATGCTGGAAGAGGCGGGGCCTGGGAAATTGGACAGTCAAGAGTCAAAGATTTGACTTTTGAGACTTCAGTTCAGTCATCTGATGTTGTCCAATCAAGAATATTTTGCAGTGAAGTCTCAGGTAGATGTTTGCCTGGTGTCAAGACTTCAACTAAAACAGGAGTCATATAAGTCATATATAGTCAGAGTCATATTAAACCGTTTCCATTTCATTTAGAGGCAAAAGACAGATTTGATTTGGAAATGAACTTGGTTGCCAACCTACGTGCACAGCTGGACAGGTGGTGTCAGTGTATGACAAATTTTTGGTGCCAGAAGATTGCTCACAAGCAGATCGGGAGTTCTTCGCAACATATCCAGTTTCTTGGCATCTTTTTTGTGCTGGGGGCTGCAAAGTGTTTCAAGGGAGTGCCAGTGTATGCAAACAACCGAGAAAGCGTACCAAACACATTTTTGGAATAGGTCACCAGTCAGTGACAATTTGGCCATGAACTCCTTTACAAGGTTTGATTCGGGGTTGAGGGTTGCTGTTTACATTGACAGGCTCCAAGACTTTGTGCTTCCCATCAGCTCTCAAGTTTTTAGCACTGACTCGTCCTGTAAACATAACGCATGGATCATCTGGCTAGTCTGCCCTGCTTCCCCTATCTCATACCCAATCATACCCAATCCATAGTTAGCCGACTATAAAATAGACAAGCTGACAAGCGAATTGTTCACACCTGGTTTTTCCATGCCTTGCCATGCCCCTATCAGACTTGTGGGCTGATGTCGATCCAGACGCCCCAAGTCCAAAAGAAATTGATGACTCCGAAAAAACATTGAGAAAAAAACTACAGACCGCTCCAGCTAGAGTGGCAATCGCCCAAAAGAGAGCTGCTGCAAGCCAGCAGCAGTTTGCAGATGACTCCAGCAACAAAGCAGATTTCTCTACCCGTTTGCAAGCAGAGTTCTTTACTCAACAGTACCAGCGTGGGCATCACATTCAGCACAGCAAGAATCCCAGCAGTTCAGCCTTCACTGACAGGAAGCAGCAATTTGGGCGAGAGAGAGCTCGGTGTGTGTTTAGCCTATTGAAGTGCACGCTGCAAAAGTTGGTTGCTCTGTTCGACGGACGGGAAGTGTGTCATGTGGTAAACACGTGCATTGCTGACGACACCAGCACCAAACTCAGGGCTGCGCAATCTGATCGTGCCGTAGTGCACACGATCATGAATACAGTCCAGAACTTGTTCGTCAGATATGGCCATGGCAATGACAATACTGCTGACACATGGGAGTCCATCCATCTCCCAACTCCAGCTGCTTGCCTAGAATCCTCAAGAGGTGACGCACTTCATGCGGCCTTTACATCCTGGCTTGTAACATCTTTGTCAGGGCCCGGAGTTCATTGGCAAAGACTGGGTTGTCCGCAAGATATTCTGGCCAGGAGCAAGTGGTCCACCTGCATCCTAGTTGGAGACGCCTTAAAGGCCAATGACACTGCCTGGCGACACGAATGCAGAATCCTAGCCCAAGACAGACAGGATCCCAACTCTAGCTCCCACAAACTGTTGGGCATTCGGATGAAATGCACGGTTCACCAATTGGCCTTGGTGAGGAAACCTGCAGTGTTGAGTATCGACAAGTACTGGACTACCCTGGTTCGTCTCGGCCATTTGTACGAGACATACAGCTTTCGGCGTGCTCTTGGAGCTGCGCTGATTTCCTTGTTGCAAAGAGAGGGGCAGTTCATTCGTGCTTTGGATTGTAGTTTTGTATATTTGTGTATTTCTTCTGGGATTTGTCATCAGTCTTGTTGGTGGCAAAAGGCGTACTGTGTAGTCATGAGTCATGATTCATGATTGAACTGCTAAGGAATCCCTGTGTCTGAGTTTCCTGCTGAGATGAAGACTTGGACAGCCAGATGCGAGTGGCTGCTACGTGATTTCGTCAGCACGAGTAAGAATACCAAAATGTCCCTGAATGACGTGTTCAAAGTGGGCAATGGGGACTCGACACAGCCAGTGATCACACACTGGTGCTTAAGCTCCAAAGGGCCTGGAAAAGGTCCTTGTTGCAACAGCGATGAGGAGGCCCTCTTGAAATTCATTTCCCATGCCGTCCATTTCTTCGGCAAAGGATTTGACACACCTTTACTCTACAGGCTCAAGCACTTTGGTCCTGCCTCAAGTTTTGTGAAGGCGGGAACGTGCTACTTCAATTTGTTGCCTCAGATTTTGAAGGAGATGGACACTACAGCAGCTCGTGAGTCACAACAAGAGGCCGGTCAGTTTGTTGACTCCATTCTCGCCGACAATGTGCAGGACGGAGATTGGCAGCATGTTTTGGCTGATGCCCTTGATCATGACAAGAACTTTGTTTTGCAAAACGGCGCCAGAAGGAGAATGGTTGCAGATGAACTGAACAAACCAAACTTTTACAAGAGCAGCATGACTATAGACTCCATCATTGGGCCAATGGAATATGGGATAAACTTCCTGTTCGGTCACACAAAGCTGCTACACGATCTCAGCTACTTGGGCCGGTGCCACTCCGAAAGTGAACAACTGCAGGAAAAGGCTCGCTGCATATTTTTCCACGTGATATTTGGAAACTTGGGAGGCGATCTGATTAAGCGATACGTCACATTTTTGGACACAGGCCTCCTTGAATGTATCAAGATGGGACTTTCCCCTTCCTGCTCACAACTCAACACGATCTTCAACGTTGTGCTGGTGATCATGTCTGATATTTGCAGGCGACTGCAACAAGTCTTTGATGTGCCACCATTTACCCTTTTCAAATTGTGTGAAATCAGTGACACTGGCGACTTTGTGAAAGCATTCTCAGACCTAGATGTGAGATTTCAGACTTGCGCACAGTGCTTCGACTTTGAGTTCTCTTCCGAGTTGATGGCCCATTTTGCAGTCCGGTTGCAGTCCAATCACTCTGCAGAAAGCCAAGAGGCTGCAAAACTTGAGATGCAAACGATTTTGAGGGATGTGGCTGCGTGGTGCCCAGTCAGTTCCGACTTGGTTGAGGTGAAAAACGGCCAGGTACAATGGGCCGTGTCCAAACGTGGAAGCCAAAATGTTCTCGGTGGTCCCTCAGCATATGAGACAACTTTGATCCAATCAGCTGTAAAACAGCACAAATGGGTGCAAGACAGAATTGCTGAACAAAGCCTTCCACCGAAGGCTGTGGCTGCTGGCATCCTAAAGATGTGCGGCTCCAGGTCAAGCAATCAGTTTTCTGGTGAGGCGCTTGCCTCAGTCAAGACAAACAGAAGCACACAATCCTTTGTTTTGGGGCTGGTTTGGTAGTTCCAGATTCCAATTGGGCTTTACCGGTTAGCTGACTTCTTACCACAACAAGCAATGAATCCCCAAACTGTGCTTTTCAACTGTGTTCTTTTGCCTGTTTGCTGTTTGCATCTGTTTGCAATTCATTGTTCTTGCATGTTCTTGCTACCCCTCAATCAAAACTGATGAGGAGCAGCGCAACAAGCGGAGCCACACTACTCGGGAATCAGAGCTTGAGAAGCAGCAGCGCATTGGGAAAGCCAAGCAAAGAAAAATCAGATCTGTTTGTGGATGGAACGTTTTTCAGCGAGAGGCCTTGTCTGACAAAGCGCATTCCAAAGGTGAGTATACTGCCAAGATCCGGGCACTCAGTGCCAAATGGAGGGCAATGTCCAAGGACGAAAAGGCTGAGTATGACATTAAAGCAGCTCACCAACAAAGTTTACTGGACAGCTTGGAAGCGAGGCCATTGCCTGTGAAGGGGCAGCCAGCTTCAGACAGTGAAGGAGAGCAAACTTGGAGAAACGCGAAGAAGAAGCGCTCAGCCAGACGACTGGACGTCAATGCCGAAGCCTTTGAGCAGTATGCAGTCTGGGACTGGCCAACGCGGCTGGGAGACAGCCTTTTGGCAGCAAGAGTTTTCAAGCCTGTTATCTACGACACGCAGACCGCAGACATACAATCGCCCATTACCACATCTATGTGCTGTGCAACATAACATGCCCGTAGGGCCATGTTGTGAGACATCACTTGTTAGCAGCATTGTGAAGTGTTTGGAGTTGTAGCGGGCACAGGATCCAACACTAATAGACTTTTGTACTTAATCCCTGAGTCCCTGAGTGCAGCTTAGGCCAGGGGGCGCTGAAGCCAAGCCTGATTGATGTGCTGAGCACCGACAAGGAGATTGAGGACCATCTGGCACAAACTTTGCACAAGCGATTGGAGATGTGTACCAAACAATGCGATGTACAGCCACACAAGCAACCATGTTTCAGTTTTCTTTGCTGCAAAGACAAGTTCTTTGGCGCCATCCAGAAGTTTGTTGGGAGCTTTCACCACCAACTTAGCGCAAACAATTTGAAGGCTGGCACACTGCTGATGTTTTCGAGTGACCAATGCTCAAGCTCAGTCACATGCTTCCTTGGAGTGGTACTGAAAAAGCCTCAACAGCATATGCTAGTGGAGGCATCGGTTGCAGATGGAGAGACCCAGGAGGCCTTCCTCACACTCGAGAACGGGGCCCCAAAGATCTTTACATCTCATGAGATTTTCTCGAAGTTTTTCAGGGAGAAATTGGGGAGACAGCCATTGACCATCAAAGCAGAAGCATGGAAATGCCAGGCCTTTCTGCACAATGGCCATCAGCTAAAGTCAAACCCAGAGGATCAAATTGCCACATTGACTTTGTCCGAGAAGCCAATGAAAAAAACAGCTGCCAAAAAGAAAGTTGTCAGGAAACTTCCATTTGGCATGGAAGCCTTCCTGCGCCGGAAGCGGGGGGGCAAAAAGAAACATACAAAGGCCGCTCCAAAAGCAGGGAACAAATCAAAGAGAGCAGCAATGGCTGCAATGACAAAGCCAGATGCTGTAGGCACTACTTCGTCATCATCGTCAACGTCTTCATCTTCTGACAATGATGAACAGCAAGATCAGAATCCGGAGGAGGAGAGCGAGCATGTAATGCCTGCGACTGACACTATTGAGTCCCAGCAGAATGAGATTAAGAGACTTGCAGCAGAGGTAGCTGATATGGACCAATTGGCACAAGCGGCCACGTCAAGGGCAAAGAGTGGATCATTTTTCAACAGCGATCTGGGTTTGATAGAGGGGGCCATAGCAGTTTCAAATCGCTCCATTTGCTACCATTGCCGGACAGTGATCCCCAAAGGACTGTGTGGGAACAACAATGTTGCGGTCAAAGTTTTTCTGTTTGTGAGTTGAGTTCCCGGGCTGGGGTGTAATCCAGATTAAGATTGATAAATTGAACACGTGAAGGATCTGTGAGATTCGCATGGGCATATAGCAAAGCGAGACCACCAGCGTGGCTGCATTCCTTCTGCCTGTGTGATTGCTCCAAAAAATACAGTTTGGTAGATGCCACAGTGGCGAAATTGATTGAGATGGTCGCCACTGCCAAGGGGTCAGGCAGCGCTTCTTCTTCTGCCAAAGAACCGCCAAAGCGATGCCCAGATTCAGAAGTCACAGACACCTGCAAACAAATCCTGGCTGCCCTAGGCCACGGCTAAGCCGAAGTATGCTGTCATGTCTCACTCACCAGGTTCTGCAGGCCCAAAAAACTGCTATGGGACATTCTGAGCACAGGCTGCTTGTTCTACTTACTGTATAGGTTAAGGTTGATAGACAGATCCCGTCCAATTCTGATTCAGCAGTCAGAAGTCAGACTCGTGTGGTAGTTGTTTGTGTTCGTGATTTGTTTCTTGTGATTTATGATTTATGATTGATTTGCTACTGAGGCTCCGATCGATTTTATGCTTCGTGGAAGAATGGAGATCGGCACCCATACAGAGGACATCGGGCTTGAACTCATTCCCGGATATCATGTTCAAGTTGTCCTATTGGAGAAGCTTGGACAGGTTCTGTATTCACTGCTCCGTCACTGCCAAGGGGCAACTGTTTGTTGACAATGTTGCAAGGATTAATGTAAATGTTACATGTTTGTAACTCGTGACAGAAACAGAGTTGCCATGTATCCCGGTGGCAAAGGGTGTAAGAGATTTCGATTTTACTGCTCACTGCTAACTCTGAACACGGTCGAGACAAGCCTTGCCAAGATAGAAATCCGGATGACAGTGTTTGGTGTTTGAAGCCACAGTCAGCCAACGCCTTAGGAGTTTTGAGTTTGGGGTCCCACAGACCAGAGCGCGCTTGTATGTGCTGATGGTGGATGCATCCCTGATGGACCGCGGGGAGCTTTCGGCAATGGCGCATCTGATCTCCCATGTGCTACCCGCATCGATCCCAAAACGGAGCAGCATCGAGGATGTGATGTTCTACAATTCCCATGTACAACACGCGTTTGAGACTACTCCCCATCACCCCCCAGTCTCCAAAGATCCATGGCCTTTTCCAGAACTCCAGTTTTTATACTATAAAACAGCAAGTGAGAGATGAGATCTTTTGAGCTCAAAACAGCCAAGGTTTTTTTCTGTAATCTTCGAGGGAGTTTCGGCTTACATGTATATATAGTTCAGAGACATTTATATATAGTTCAAGAGATTTTATATATAGTTCAGGACCCACAAATGGCTGACACTAAATGCCTGGGCCTCTATATTGTTCTTTCCTTTTTTTTGGTCCTTTCCTGCACTCAGGATGGAACTGTGTCTTCCCAGAGTCAGAAGATTGTCGACAGCTGGAAGAAAGAGTTGGGGGTGGGAAGAGGATACACGTCAGGACTGCCTGCAGAAAGTTTAGGTCTTCTCAACAAGCGAGAGCGGGACAACCTGGACGTGCAATACCAATTTTTGATGGCCACTCAGATTGTGAATTTTAGATGATCTGATATATTCCGATGATATTCCATGAGTGATCTGTTTGTTCCATGGGAAATAGTCTGGTCTAGTCTTCTGACTAGGAGAGCGACGACTTAGGTTGTAAGTTCAGAAAATATACTTAGATGATGCGAAGTATGCGAGTATGTTTAATTTTTTTTATATATAGTTCGGAACCGTTCGGAACCGTTCTGAACTATATATAGAAACCCGTTTATATATAGTTCGGAACCGTTCGGAACCGTTCTGAACTATATATACCATCCAACCCAGGATTAGTTCAGATTAGTTCGGATTAGTACGAAATAGTTCGAAATAGTTCGGAATAGTTCGGACTGTATATATAGTTCGGAACCGTTCTGAACTATATATAAAAACCCGTTTATATATAGTTCGGAACCGTTCGGAACCGTTCTGCGCTATATATAACTTTGGCAAAACCAACATTGCATCATTTGCGTCACGAACTTCAAACACATAACATACGTTTTTCTTTTGTTAAGTAAGTAAAGTACAGTAAGTGAGTAAGTAACTTAACATATGCCACCACATGCATGACACATGCCGCATGCTTTGACTCTGAGGCCAAGGGCAAAAACCCGTCTGTGGACAAGTGCACTACGGATGTAGCTCGTTCCAGGGCTGCAAGTTAATACTGGACTGGCACTGCCATTCTCACTTTCTAGACGTTGGGAGGTCTTTTTCAGGAAACTCCGACTGACCTGTCAGTTTCCAGGTCAAGTCAAACCCTGACACTAACATGGTTTTTCAGGAGGGAAGTGAGAATGCCAGAAGGTCTGTGATAGGAAGCCAATGATGAGCAGAAGATGATACGATACACTGAATTCTTTGTTTGGGCTTTTTGTCTGGACACCGCAAGATTTATATAAATCGAATTGGTTTTGGGATTCGGCCACGGTGGTGAGAGATGCATCTCGCACAGGTTCAACCACTCGCTTTGCGAATGGATCTGGTGGCATTGTCCATGCACTTTCAACCCATGTGAAGATCTGGAACTATGGCACTCAGGATTTTCTCACAGCCGAGGACCACAGCAACAAACCTTGCACTTGTAAATTTAGTCGGAAGGTTGGAAGGTCAGAAGTCCGGATGCGTCTAGTTGGCCCACCTTGCAAGTACTGGCAGCGTAGTAAGACTTATTTTCTTATTTGTCAGAGTCAAAGCTTGTCAAGATTTTACCACTTGCAGGACTTGTTCGCAATTCAAGGCTTTGACGTGGCAAGACTCAATTTTGGTGCGCCTGGACAGTTTTCTTATGCCGACCTCAACCATTTGGCTGGAATCTAACTGGCAATTAGAGATGATGAATGATGTTCCTCAATTCCTCTCTTTCTCTATGATATGATATAATGATATATCTAATCTAGTTTATATCTCGTCACATACGGTTACATAATGTCACATACGATAATATAATATATTGTAGTACTAGAATAAATTTCTTCCACACCTGCTGAGGAGTCTACAGCTCATTGTTGCTGTTGTTCTTTTCTGCTCCAGTTGGATGTTCAGGAACACAAGGAATCGGCTAGGGGTAGACTTGACCTTCTAGGCCTCTAGGCGGATTCTCAGTTCTCAAGTTCAGGTAATGGCTGGACTGTTCCCTGCGCCGGAGCAGTGCTTTTTACCGCTATTGCCTGTGTCCTCCGCCCAGTGGTGAAGTTGCGGAATGACCCTGTCTTCTTCCCAGACGGAGGCGCAGGAAAGGCCCGCCTCTCCTGGATTTTGGATCTTGACAAGGATGTTGCAGATGGACCGGTTGGTTCCAAGCCTTCTCGGGAGGAGAAGCCAGGTGAAATCAATGACGCAGTGTCTGGCACTGACACTGAGCCAGAGTCGTCTGACTCTGATGATTGGCCTATACTCTCAGAAGATGAGTCCCATGAACCTTTGATGTTTGAAGTTGTCGAGTCAAAAGCTGCTGTTTGTGAACTTTGCAAAGGGCATATAGAACCTGGAGCCATCATCGTCTATTGGAAGTTCTTTGTGCTGCACTACCATTGTGTCTTTGCTTTTGCCAGGTGGAACAACGAGGACGGAGATATCCGCTTGAAGGTTGCTACTGCATTGGCTGAGTCTCAGGCGGCCACGCCAAATCACCTGCACGAAAAGATCAACCACTTGGTCCACAAGCTGTTGGCAGATGATGACACGGAGGCCGCCCAGACCTCCAAAGTCTTACCAGAGAAGCGGGTGTTCAAGAAAATGCCTTCCACCATTTGGGCCAGTGAGGAAGAGACAGTGCCTGGTGCGCCGTCCCTGGGTGTGCTGTCACCTGTGCCTTCCTCTGTTCCCTTGCTGGATTTGCTGGCTGAAGATGGTGATCAAGATGCGCCCGTTGTCGGGCCCGAGGCCACAGAGACCCAGCTCCGCTATGAGGATTGTGAGGAGTTTGCTCAGACCTTTCCTGACACTCTGCCCCAACCTTGAGTGCAGTTGAGCAAGCTTAGGCACTGCTGCCACCAGTTTTGCAATTGGTAGGAACTAGCGTGAGTCCATTCCTTCTTGTAGGCCGCAGGTTGCAGCATGTCATTGATGTTGCGTCGCGTGCATGTTGCTTGTTGCTTTTGGCCAGTGCTGTTGATACTGCACAGGATTCCGAGACTCACAGCAGAAGCTAAACCACAGAGAGCGTCAAGCGTGACAAAGTTTGCGTCCCCTCAAGTCGAGTTTGTGTTGACTGTTTGGCAAATGGCTGATTATACAGCCATTTCTTGAGTGAGGATTCATGGTCAGTGCACGATGGCAAATCACGAATGGGCCATTGGCAATGACTATGTTTTGTTTTGTTCATGATTCGACTTGACATTTTGTTCAAGCCTGTTCGCGTGTGTGTGTCTGGGTTGGAGACATCATTACCGGCGCAGCATGGCTACTGAAAAGCAGGATCAGGCACCCCAAGACGAGGAGATCGATGAGGAGAGTGACGGTGAGTCTGTCGAGATTAAGGATGGCTCCTGTGGCGGTTGTGATCAAGAATTCGGGGCACAAGACGAGGCGGGTACGACCTGGGAAAACCAAACAAAACTTGCAAAGGATCGGAATTGAGTATACACTGCGGTGGTCAGATGTTTAGGAATTTTGACCCCTTGGCCAGGACGCACCAGAGGGGGTCTCCTTGCAGGTAGTATCAGCAAAAGGAGACAACAAGGCAATATGCCGTCCGTGCTTCTATATTCACCGTGGTAGTCTGGGCAAAGTCAAGCTCCGAGCGCTGTTCAAACTGCTCCGCAAATCTCCTGCTTTGCGAAAGAAGTTTCCTCGCCAAAACCTTCAGTTGGTTTTGATGAACTTATCCAGTCTGACCTGTCATTAATTTTCCTGGCCTTTGTTTGCGCTCACATTTCCCAGTTCCTGTCAGACTCTGGCACAATTCCAAGGTTCCGCTCCTTGAGGCGCAACTATGTCCGACGTACAGCTGCCAATCCTAAGGCTAAGCCCAGGCACGAAGTCTTGGATATCAAGCATTACGTTCAAAAGCGCCAATCCAAGTACATTGATTTCTATCAGGAGAGAGTTGCAGCAGAATGATTGGAGCTTGATTGAGCCTGCTAGGGACCCAACATGTTTGTAATTTATACTTTACAAGTTGTTTGTAAGTTAGGTCAAGCTTTCCAATCTAAACGTCCCTGAGGAGGCAGACTGGCAAGAACTTGATTCCTACTTCCGAGAGCACGCTCCGCAAGATGTGAAGAAAAAGGTCAAGACAGCTGCAGCCAAGCGGAACTGGATCACGAATGTTACTTGGCAAAGTATGCTGCAACCCTTGGGGTGATGACCTGTGACAAACATGTTAACACGTTATAGTTTTGTCACGAAAGGGTCGTGTCTTTTTAGCTTTGGCAGCCAACATTTGCTGACCTGTCCTGACTTTGAATGGATCTGTGGCATGGCCAAGGTTCTCGGACTCAAGATCCAGAAGGACATGTCGGGTTTGCTGAACCTCTCAGGTTGCCTTGTTTACATAACTGTATGCGAGTGGCTGTATTTATGTCAGTCCTTTCCGTGTTGGGGGTGGTGCAGTGCCTGCAAAACACTTAGGCAAACAAGCAGTAAAGCATTGCAGGACGACTGCGGCACTGATGGAGTCCTGGTTGTCCCAGACAAGTCTCGCAAAAAGGTCAAGATCGGAACCCGGTCTTTGCAGAACCCAGTTTGTATGTTTCCTATTTCTTTGCTTATTTGATTGCTTTTTGGACGTGACCAGTTGGGGTCCTGTGACCTATGATTCACCGTCTAGGAAACAAAGCCTCCGCAGACAGCATCAAGCGGACTGAGCACGAGTCTGGAGGTGCACGGAGCGAAGCTTTCGACAAGGAGTCAGGAAAAGTCCAGGTTGAGCTCAACGACAAGGCCGGCCAACAGTTCACTGCCAGCTAGGTTACAAACAAATTACACATGTTTGACAGCCAACCCCAACCCGGCCTCGCAACTTTTTCATATTGGTTGCCCTGGGACACGTTGGTTTTGTAATTCCTTTCAGGCTGATGTGGATGCAGCACTGGGGGCTGCACCAGAACCGGAGGAGGAAGAGCCAGTGGAGCAAGAGGCTGCATCTGACGATGGCGAATCTTCAGACGAAGGGATTGGCTTCTTGAAAAAGAAGAAGGAACAGACCCAGAACAAGCCGGGGAAGAGGAAACGTGACAAGGACAACGAAGAGAAGGGAGCTGCTGAGAGGCTTCAAAAGGCACGTGTGACGGAGCCCAGTTCAGCCACCGCCAGTGGCCTTGTCCCTTCCAGCACTGGTGACCAGTCGAAGGCGAAAGTGATGTCTCGGGGTGAGGCAGCTCTTCTTGCCTTGCAAGCCTTTGACCAGCTTTCCTTCTTCAATGGCTCTTTGAAGGAGAAGGAATGGAATTCAAAAGTGGACAAGGCATTGACCACGGGCACTTCCCTTGATTCTTGTGGTGAGGACGGAAAGGAACTGGGGAAATCGTTGCAGGTGAATGCCGAATCCATCATGGCAACGATGGACTTTTTGAAGAACATCCGGGGCATTTCTCCGAACACAGCAGCCAATGAGTTTTCCAGCATGCCGCAATCTGATGTGCGCACTATGGCAACTCTCAGCCCAGAATGTCTAACTGCAGTGCTTCAATCGTGTGGAAAGAAGCTCTTGGAGGTCAGTCCTGCCATTCCTGGTATGCTCTGGTCAATTAGTGGAACTTACAGCGTAGGTCGGGTAGTATATAATCATTATTACTAATTTGCAAATGTGTTGGCTGGTTGACAGCGTCCAAGCTTTGGTAGACTAGAACTACAGTGGCTCTGACTCATATATTATACTCATATAAGGTAAAATCCCGCTCTCTCGACATGGTCGCTTGAGTGCGTAAATGTTCAAGCTAAAGAAGTTGAAGGACAAATTGGGTGTGGGCTTTTGATAGAGGCTCTGAAGGCTCAGCATGATGATGAATGGTCGCCTGACAAAGTCCCTGGTGACTGCAGGGGCTTTGACATAGTGGCGGGAAGTGCAAAGTCAATTGATTCTGAGGCTCTGCACTGTAAGAGGGTGCGTGTGAATGGATAGAGTCGGATAGAGCAGACAGCTGCAGACTGGCGACAAAGTCATTACCTTAGCTTGGTAGTGACTCAACACCACAATGTAAAGGAGTCAGAGCCACTCGTAGATAATAAATACTAGATAAACAAAGCACATTAACATATTCAGATTGCGGTATTGTATTGTTGTGAGTGGGGGAGTGTGCGGTACCCTCGTTGTCATGATTGTGATGGTTTTGAAATTGTGGGGAATTGATCTGCTGCGTGCGGCCGTGGTGCGGCAGGATTCCACAGATTATGCCAATTCGATGTCTACCTTTTTCCGCTTCCTCTCCTTGGACACTAAATGCACTGGTTTGTCTTTGCGTGCGGTGTCAGAGTGTGGGGACAGCGCTCTCGACATCCCAGGATTCATCAAGATTCAGATCAACCTGTTCAACGCTTGGGTGGACAGAGTGAAGAACCTCTCAGACGACCATGTAGACAAATGCCTCCTGGCCATCCCCAGTCATTTGTGGGATGCCCAATCGACAAGGCCAGGTTTCCAACATATTTTCAAACAACTTAGTGAGTAGAATCCAGGATCGATCAGGCTGACTAGACAATTTGGGTCTTCTGTTTCAGGAGCTGGTCAGAAGACCCTTCGGTGAGCTGTCTGGTACCTGGCACTGGGATGTGCCCAAGATTGCTGCTGGACTTGCACAGGTTCTTGGCAGCCAAGCAGCTCATTGATGAGAATGCCACCAACAGGCTATCCGGTGCCGAGATTACCGACTTGAAGTTGATTGTTGCCTCTTCTGCCAAGGTTTCTGCACGAATTACTCTGGTATTCAAAGCCGGAAGGCTCAGGACTGCTACAGTGGAAAGTTCCGCAGCCGGGACGTATTTTGTATTTTGTTGATCTTTATTTTTTGTTGTGGAGATTGAGCTTCAGTTGTTGCCAACGAGTGGGTCAGGACTTTGTGGATGCGGGTACTTCAGGCGACCAAGAGGGTGATGGACGAGCAAGTCGCTTTGGGAAAGGTGCAAGGTTGCTGTGAGAACATTACCATACTCATCTCTGCCTTGAAGTCCTTCAGTAGCACAGAAGACAACGGGGACACCAAAGCCAAGGAAGACATTTGCCAGCAAGCGAGAAACAACTTGCAATGCTTGGATATCCAGGCCGCTTGCAAAGAGTCTGCCAATGAGGATGGCAAACAGGAGTCGCAAGCACTTGGCGAGCAGGTGACACAACTTCAGGAGGTCATGGACCAGGAGTTCTTTCACACTACAAGCTTTGGTGACCTCCTTGCGAACTTGTGGGCGGAGGGGGCAACACTACAGATGGACACAGAAGGCTACGAGTTCCAGGTGCTCCCATTGCTCCTCACTCTGTCGATCCAAGGTGCCATGCAAATTTTAAAACACGCACTCACACACACACACACAATATAGGCTAACTTCTGACATGTGTTATTTTTTTTGGGGGGGGTTGGTGGATCATGTGATATACAGCCAGGCTGACTCATATTTAAGATTTGTCACGTTCAACTTTCAAGAGTTTTTGTTGACACTGTCAGGTGCAGTTCGTGGACTCGTTCTCCGTGAGGAAGAAGTCACAAACTCCATCCTGGTCGAGGTGGCAGATGCGTTTTACGACTTTTGCAAGAACTTTCCAGACGGCCAACACGTTGCAGAAGACCATCTTAAATGTGCCTTTGTACTTCAGACTCAGTTGAGCTCACTTGTGGGAAAGTGCCAATTCGTAGACACTCCACCAGAATGGATGGGCAGGTTCAAAGATGCCGCTGACAGATTTGCCAGCAAGTTGTCTGTTGTCACCACAGAATGGGTGAAGAGTCTTCTGCGCAGTGGCAAATTGTCCACTGTCAAGGAATTCTTCAACAGCTGCGACCTACCAGGCAGCCCAGGCACCTTAACCAAACTTGCGGCGATCATCGAGCACTACGAGTTCTTGCTCAGTCTGGAGCCACCAGAGCCAACTGACTTGTTCAGTGAACTTGGCACTCGGATGAAGAGCTTCATCACAATTTCTTCCCTTGATGAAGCCATCTTGTCGGACTTGGTGCCAGACATCCATCAGAAGGCAAACAACTACAAGGAGTCTGTGCAAACCAATGTCATGCAGGAGGTGGAGAAAATGCGTGGTCAGCTGACCAAAAGCATTACGAGAATGGAGACATACAGGCTGGGTTGTTTCTGTCCTTTTTACTTGCAGCATCATGCAACACCAGCCACGTGTCAAGAGTCAAGAATTTGTTAGATCATGGCCGGGCCTCTTTCATTTTTTCCACAACGGAGATGTCACAGGAAGATCTTGCCAGCAGTGAAGATTTGGCAGCTCGACAACATCCAGGACCTCCTGATAGAGACAGAAGCCATGAACAAGGACGTGGAATCCTTGATCAGATTTGTCGAGAATTGCGACGGCTATGACTCATGGACTCGCGTGTCATTGGCCCTAATGAAGGGGTCTTTCTGGAAAGATCATCATGTGTTCCAAGCATTCTCAGCTGTGAGGAAGGAGCTGGAGGCCAAGCTGAGGGAATGGCTCTACCCCAGATTCCTTTGTTGCAGTTGGTTGTTTTTGGGGGTTGGGTGAACTCCTGTTTGTGCAGCCAGCAGGCCACCATTGGTTTACCATGTGATGTGTGGTTTACTCGTACTCCCTACACCCTCAGGTGGCCCGCAAGGACGCTTCACAGATTGTGGCATGCCTCAGCCTTTTGCACATTATTGAGAACAAGGAAGGCCAGAAAGAACCCGTGGAAACCAGGCTGGCCTCAGTCCGAAAGTGCTGCGCTTTCATCAGCCAGAGGTTTGGTCTCAGCTTGGGAGATTTGCCCGGGCCAATGAAGCAAAAGGTTGATGCATTCTCACGCGTCCAAGAGCCAGATGCGCCCAAGAGGCAGCTTGCAAGAGTTCAGGGTTACTCTGTGTGGTAAGTGTGCATGACACTATGCTTTTGGCAAACTAGTTTACAGTTGACACAGGACTCTACCTCTACCTCTTTCTACCTCTACCATTTGAGGCTTTGAGGTTTACCACACCAGATGTGATCCTGCCAGCATGTTAGCCAAGGAAGGAAGGAACAGCAAAAGCAAAAGCCTCTGGTGAGCGGGCAGCACCAAAGAGAAAACCCAAGAAGACCGACTGAGTGAAACTGGCCTGGTGACTTTGGGGATGGCCTTTATGCCTTTTTTGGGGCATGGGCCTACTTTTGCAGAAGACGGTGATAACATCGTCTGTTGGGAGCCATTAGGGCAT